CAACTCTGTTCTCTGCTCATCAGATTTTTCCCAGGGTTAGGGATCAAAACCAGGCCCTTGCGATGCTCGGCCAGCTCTCTGCTGCTGAGCAGCAACCTCAGCCCCACCTGCCCATCAGATTTTGAGTGTTCAAGTCCTATCTTGGCCCCCTTTTCAAACAATAATTGAAGTTTACTACTTTTGTTTGTCTTTGTTCTGGCCTTTTTCTCCAGCCCAGTGGGAGGAAACCTATGCTCAGCACGCTGCAGTGGGTGCTCAGACCCCTGTCTGTGGGCATGCCAGACAGGTCACCCCAGCATCACCCCAGCAGTGAGCATCGGATGACAAGCACATAGGCTCATGTTGGCATTTTTCAATAACCGAAGGGGCTTTGGGTTGCATTGTCACACCCATGCTCTGGGAGTTTCAGCACCTTGGCTCCAGCCCCTGGCTTATTCCTAGAACTCCACGACCTTAACGGAAAAGGGAGAAGGGGATGAAGCTGCCTTTAGGAGCAGTGCTGCAGCTCTCCCTGCTGATTCCTGGGTCAGTGGCTTGCAGGCCAGTGGCCTGCCTTCCGGACAAGCATGTGCCCGAATGCTCTAATGCACTCTGATGCTTCAGACTGGTGGGGTTTTCCCACTGACCAGCGATGCTGTAGACCTAGCCACTTAACTCCTCTCAGCCCTAGCCCTGAGCTTTGAGTTCTCATAATGCAGGAATGCTGGCATCTCAGCTCTGGTGAGAAAAGCACTCCAGCCAAGTAAACGCTGTGATAATGAAAGCAGCTCCCGCATATAATCACTTGAACAAATGAAAATAATTCCACCAGATCACATTTCCTGGGCCTGGTTCAAGCTCCAGCACAGTAACGTCTTGGATTCCACGGAGATCTAATCAGACTCCTGTGGAACCAAACTTCAGTTAAAAATCAAAAGCATTCCGCTGTCACTCTGGAATATCACACTGTGCAGAGGTGACGTCTGGTGGTTCTGGTGAGTTAACTTTGGCAGAAGAGCTCCCCCCGCAACATCTCTGGGGGACAGGACATCGTCCTCTTCAGAGTTAAGTCACTTCTGTCTTTAAATATTTTCGTCCTACAGCTACTTTGTCCCCTGTGACTCCTGGTTGTATGGTGGCAGGGAACAGTGGGGGCGTTGAATGGAAGGAAGCAGGGAAATAGGAAAACAACTCTGTCCTAAGCTTCTCTTCTTTTGTCCTTGACTGCTTTTTCTCCAGCCCTTAGAAATACCTTCTAGCGCTGAAGATGCTGACGGTTCCTAACTCCTTTCCCTAACACACAATTGTTAGGAAAATCGCACCACCTAAGTTGCACGGCCTCCTATGGGGCACGTCAAAGCCTGTGATCGAGCTGTACTAGTGCTCCCCTCCTGGTACCCCAGGCCCTGCCTGCACATCCTGCTGTGTGTCCCTGGTCCTACCCCCTGGGAATTTTTTCTCTGCTGAGTGAGAGTGGCAGCTAACTCGGGGTGGAGGAGTTGGAGTTCTCTGGATAATCACCATGAGCGGGTCCAGGTGCAAAATCAGTGTTTGTGCTCTGAATGCTGTCAGGCTACTGTTGAGTAAATGTAATTATAAGTAGTGAAACTAAAGTTACTTAAAATAACTGAATTCTTACTAACTTTGGTTTAGTATGCATTTTTCTCGATCAATGAATGTCAACTGAACCCCAGAGGTGGAGATTTTTTTATGATATTCTTGATTTTGCTTAACTGTTTTAATTTTTAAAACAGAGGTGGGAGGTGAGGGTTTGCTAAACTGTTCAGCTGACCTGGAACTCAACATCCTCCTGCCTCAGCCTCCCAAGTAGCTGCAATTACAGCTCCCAGACCCAGGCCCAACCTATTTTCTTAATTTAAAAGGAAAGAAGGTTAAAATGTGCAGTTTTGGCTTCAGTCTACAGTCTGAGATAAGTACTGCAGCTAGAGCAGGGAAGACCAGCATTGGTGCTCAGGTCCCAGCCCACCCCACCAAACGTACCTCGGTGGGACCAGTGAAGAACTGAGGCCTGGTGTCGCCTGGTGCAACGCGAGGACCAAGCTCACAGAGCCTCCCAGGGACGCAGCGCCATGAAGCTGGTCCAGGCCTCTGAGGGGTGCTGTGGGTGTGGGTGCAGGGCAGCTCCTTATTCTAAGGAGGGTCCTGCAACCCCTGACCCCACTACCTCCCCGTGAGAAAACCACTCCCGGAGCAACAGCTGGGTCTCAGCTCAGGGCTTAAGGGATGGTGCGAATGAAACCACCGCCCAGCAGGAGTCTTCCTGGCTCCTGGTCAGCTGTGATTGTTCTTTTAGATGTGGAGAGGCCCCTTGGAGCAGGGCTTTCTGGCAGAGTCTACACTGGAGGAGATGCTACTCAGCCACTGGGTGTGGGGAGAGGACGGAGATAGTTGCCCCCTTTCCCCGGACTCTGGTCCCTTAGGGAGTCCAGTGCATGCACGCACTCCTCTGGTCCCTTCCAGAGCGGGTGGGGGTGGGGGTGGGGGGTGGGGGGCTTACAACACTTCAAAGCCTTGGTGCTTTTCCATTTGCTGCTCCCAGTGGCTTTCCCCTCCTGGGTCTCTCTGTCTCTGTCTCTGTCTCCCTCCCTCTCCCCGTCCCTTCTGCAATCCTTCTCATACCCTGTCCCCCCATCCTGTTCATTTTTGGCACTACTGGGGATTAATTTAGAGCCTTCCCACTGAACTACATTCCCAGCCTTTCGTTTTAGTTTTTATTTTGAGACTGGCTCTTGCTGAGTCATTAAATTGCCCAGGCTGAGCTCCCATGTGTCACTGTCCTGCCTCTGCCTCCCTCTCCTAGAGTGCTGGCATTGCAGGCATGTGTATTCCCAGCTGCCCCAGCTCCTTCTACCAGGACCTGGAGGTTCAGGTGGAAACTGGGGAAGCTGACCCTGTATTTGTGCCCAGTTAAGTTCCTTTCTGGGTAAAAAGGAAGAAATAGTACTTAGCTTGCTCAGTGAAGGTAACAAGGGAAGGGTTTCTGTGACCTCCCACTCAAGAGATGGGGCTGTTAGGAGGCGCGCACGGGCCCTGGCCCTCCTCCTAGCAGGCTTCTGGGCCTGCGCAAGGCTCCTTGGGAGGCCAGAGCCCACCCTGCAAGGAGGCTCCCTCCGCCACAGCTGGGCGGAGGACCCGGCTGCTCCTGCTGCCCCTCACTCCCAGAGCGTGGTGAGGAGGGCAGCTGGGATCGCTGTCCCTGTCTCCTGGGCCCAGTGTGTCCCTATCTCCAGAGGCCCTGAGGCCTGGTGGTCCCCAAGTCTGCTTGTGCCTAGAAAATGACTGAAAATTTTAAAAACAAACCAGACAGGTCTGGAACCTGCGGCCCTACTGATTGAGAAATATCTGAAGGGAATCTCTGGAAATTCATATTTTTAGACTGGGAATCAGTAGTAGTAGTAGTGTGTTCAATCTCTCTTTCTCTCTGTCTCTCTTTGTCTCTGTCTCTCCCCCTCCCTCCTTCCCTCCCTCCCTCCCTCTCTGTCATGCACATGGGTGCACAAAGAAGGTATCCTTTTTTTTTTTTTTTTTGAGTCAAGGTCTCACTACCAGGCGTTGAACTCATTATGTGGCCCAGGCTGGTCTTGAACTCATGGGACTCCTCCTGTCTCAGCCTCCCAAGTGGTAGGAATACAGGCATGCGCCACCACGCTCAGTTGAGAAGTCCATACTTTTAACAGGAAGTTACAAAGTGTTATGAGTATGAACTAAACAGAGAACAGCATTGGAGGCCCGCTGATTTCAACCCGTGTCAAGTGCCCTCCTAATCCAGGCAAACTTGCGAGTTTGGTCATAGAGCCGGGGCCATTCGGTGCACCAGTACCACAAGAGAGCGGTGGCAGAACAGCCCCATGCCCTCTCCCTAAATAATATTGGTGTTCTTTGAGGCCTGCTCTAAGTACCTCCTTTTTTAATGTCCTTATTTCTATCAGTGGGACCCTCTGTTTTGCCAAGTTCATTGGGATGTTTTCCTAACCCATCTTTTGGGATAGACCAAATCGTGGGCTGAGAGCCCCAGACAGGAGTGGGCCAGAGACCACCCAGTGACAGTAAATGAGTTTAGATAGCAGCATTCTCCTTCCCTGGAGTGAGCATGGGAGAGGGAGGGTAGAGACTTGTGTTTGCTGAAAAAAGGGCACAGAGAGTGGATCTCTAGGAGCCCAGAGACCAGAGGATGTCAAACCTGCAAGTAAAATCTCACCTGGAGTAAAGGCAAGAAATGGCTTCTGTCTCCACACCTCCCGAGTCTCTCTGAGGAGTGACATGGAGCCATGTACCTGACTGGGGCCCTGGAAGAGTTTTGTGCCAGAACACAGAGGTCCCTTGGAGCTACACCTTCTCTAATTGTGATGATCCTGCCAAGATTAGGAGAGCCAAGTCCAAGGCAGAGGCTGAGCACCTGGGACCCTGACAAAGCAAAGCTGAGCCCTTTGCAAGGGCTTTTTTTTTTTTTTTTTTTGGTTAGTTCAGGATGCCTTAAGGTCAGGTCTGGTACGGTTGTGGAGCTGGAGCTGGAATCACGGTGCCCTGCGCCTGATTGAGTTTGCCCAAGCAGGCGCTTTAAACAACTGAGCTAAGCTGCAAGCCCCCAAGGGGCTTTCTATCACCTTTGTTAGCCTCTCATTTCTCTAGATAAAGATTCTACATAAAAATTCTTTCACTTCTAGATAAAACTTTGCTTCTCTCAGGCTGGGGAGATAGCTCAGCCGTCTAGATGCCTGCTTAGCAAGCAAGGGCAGGGACCCAAGTTTGATCCCCGCTACCTCATGCCATGCTGGCCCTGAAACCAGGCATGGTGGCACACTCCTGTAATCCCAGTGCTGGGGAGGCTGAGATAGGAAGATCACTACTAGTCCAAGCTGCATAGTGAGATCCTGTACCAAATAAATACATAAATAAATAAATAAATATTTTTAAAAAGATCCACTTCTCTCAGTCGCATTTGCACTGTGCTCTTTGACTGCGTGTTGAAGAGCCTCGCGCAAGCCGCTGCGTGCACTCACCGTTGCGTACAATCTTCCTTTCCTGTTCATAGCAACAAAGAGGGTGCTTCTCATTCCAAAGAGACTCACCACCCCTTGCTCCACCGTGGAAATTTCCAGCAGGCCTGACAAGGAAACGAGGTTCACGTCAGCTGAGGTTCATGCACATCAGGTGGGGCCCAACCCTGCAGAACATCCACGCCACTCCTCCTCACAGCGGGCCTGCCCCAGCCTACAAGGCCTCTGCCTCTCATCTCTCCAGCTGCAGGAGACTATGCTAAAAGATTCATCGGAACCCACCACTGTCCTGTTAAATATGCATTTCTGCCAGGAAAAGTTCTGCATCAGAGTTGGGGATTACTTGTTTACTTACGTATTTATTTAAGATTAGCTTGAATCTAGGTTTTCACTAACTTTAATTACTTTAAGTTCTTGACGGGTAAAAACATGAATTCTTATTATTTTAAAAATATATGGTCACACTTTTCAACTACTCAACCTATCTATTAGCACAGACTCCACAGCCATGCAGAGGTGATGGCTTGCCTGGACCCCATCTTGGCTTTGTTAGGCAGGATCCTGGTAGCTACTTGTCAACTTGTAGGATAAGGGACCAGGAGACAGAGGGAGATGACTGAAATTTTTTTAAAAAGGGGTCTGTTTTCCCTGGAAAAATTGCAAACCACTTGTCTTTCCTTCTCTGAGAGAGAAGCTGAATAAAAATAAGCTTGTGTCTAATTCGGTCCAAGAACCCTCCTCATTCTCCCCATCACTGCCTTAGTGGCTCTCCAAGCTGGAGGTCCTTGGCTGTCTCCAGATGGACCAATGAGGCTGCAGTAGTTGGTGCTGCAGGGGCTGGCAGAGGGCACCAAGATGCTTGGTTACTGGCATCTGGAGCTTGCGGTATCTAAGCGCTGCATAGCATTTCTCCCCATTTAGAGTAGGGTCCCATCCATTGGAACTGGGCTCCTCCACCATGTAGCCCTGCTTGAGCCCAAGCCCCCAAGCAACCCAACTGGCTGCAGCTGACACTCACTGTAGGGGTTCTCTTCGTGGGCTCCACTGATCTGGCCGTTGAGGGGCACCTGGAGGTGGAAGCCAATGCCCACGTTGCAGTAGAGTCGCCGCTGTCGCTTGATCCCCACTAAATAGCCGTTTTCCCAGTTCACTCCGGCGATCTCTCCAGCCAGCCCTGCACGAGACCTGGACAGCAGTTTGCTCCAGCTCCTGGAGCGCAGCAGTGTGCTGTTGGCACGGGTACCCGCCGGCAGGGGCACGACCATGCCCACTAGGACAGCAAGGAGGACAAGAGCCTGCAGCATGCGCTGGGGATGGCCTGATGTCCGGGACATAGTGATGAGCAGCCTCTGTCCCAGGGCCATCCACCTTGCCTCTCAGGCACGTGGTCAGAATTAATGGCCCTAAAAATACCGCCCTTCTTGTTTTTCTCCCCTCGGCATGGCGGCAGGGGCTTATTTTTGGAAGGCAGATGAAGGCTGCTGACATGAAACCAAAACCTGCTTCGGGCACTCGGCTTGAGAGCACAGGGACCCAGGCTGAGCCACAGGCGGTAGGGACCATGGCTCGGGGACACTCACAGTCTCCTGCCTGCTGTGCCTGAGGTGATTCTGTTGGATTTGACCTAGCTTTATAGTGTAGCAGCTGGCCCTCCCCTCCGCCCGGCATCAGCCTGACGTCAGCCTCCCAGCACACACACCCAGGCTGTAACATTAACCTGCTCCTGGTCTGGCCACCTCCCTAGAACCCCATCACCTGCCCACTCCCTGGGGATCCTGGGAGCCACTGCCATTCCAACTATGGGCCAGGAATGAAGTTAGCAGGGTACCTCTGGGCCAGTGGAGCTGGCTGGGGCCTTAGGCATTGAGGGGGACACAGGCCACCCAGGACTCGAACAGGACAGAAGCTCTTGGCCTGACAGCCCTGGCTCCTTCACTTGGAGGGCAAAGGCTGAGGAGAGGATGGGGATGGGCAAGGATGGCAGCTGCAGAGTTCCTCTCAGGACCTCTTTAGGAAAGAGCTTGTGGTGAGGAGGGCCCTGAGCAGTCACACCCTAGGTGGAAAGTGCAGAGATGCTGCTGGAGGTTCATGCGGGTAGCGCTGCACTGTGGTGGCAGGGGTGAGGTGTTTCTGCCCCTGCTCACTCTCCTGGCCAGGGCATTTACCAGGGCAGAAGTGGTGTCCTGCCCCAGCCAGTCTCTAGATGCAGCGCATCCTTGTCACTGACAGTATTTTTACTGTACAAATGAGAAAGCTGGGGCATGCAGGAGTTAGCCAGTTGCCCGAGTCATCGCAGGAAGGGTGTGGCCAATGCAGAGGCTGGAGTCTGCTGAAGCCCAGAACCTGTGCATGACAGTGCTTGCGGCAGAAGTTAAATTTCTAGGTTGGCCCATTATCTGTTTAGATCATTATACATCAAGGGTACCTTATGGAGCTATTTCAGTAGTGTAAAGCAACTCACTTGTTAAAAAAATAATTTATCAAACACCTTTGATAGGCATGAGAATTTGTGTATCTGCAGCTCACTTTTGCTGGACTCATGTGATAATTAGAAACTAAATATAAAAGGATTTCCATAGTTATCCCTACACCCCCTTTTCTTTCCTATATTACTTTAAATAGATTGTATGTTTGAATTGAAGCAGAAGTCCCTTTAAGCAGTTAAAAAAGAAATAAAAGCCTTCCCAAATTGCTATGCAAATATAAGAAGAAACTATCTCTGAAGATGAAATAATGAATGAATATGAGCTTAAAATCCACTTTCTTTTTGGCTCCTAGGACTGCCTGAGCCCAGGCTGGAGTGGGTGGGTGTTTGGGGGGCTGCGAGGCATGGCAATAGTGTCGGGTGGGCTTGGCCACCCCAAGCTGGTCCCACAGAGGGTCGGCAGCCCTTGCTCCCTGCAGGCCTGAGCCTCCTGCTCTGCTTGGGTCTCAGCCCCTGGCTGTTTCTGATTATCTTCTGTCCTGTGCCACCTTCATTTGACGTTGTTGTTGTTGTTTTTGGTACCAGGAATCAACTCAGGACCTTGAGTTTGGCCACTTTCATTTGAACTGATACTTCACTTAACATTTTTGCTCAGCTGTGTATTTCAGTTTTGCCCTAGACTCACTCTCTCAGATTCCTTTAAAGCTTGGTGTCTTCTATCATTGTTCCTTCTGGCAAACAAAAGGCAGAGGGGTGTGTGTCCTGCCACTGAGCTCCCGACTTCCTGGCCATCCTTCTGCTGCCTGTCACGTCCACTGGCCTGTGCTAAACTTTCCTCACCAGTAATGTCATTTCCCATCACAAGGGAAGACTGGTGCCTTGTGAGCATAGATTTAATCTACTCATAACCTTTTATAGAAAAATAATTGGAAGCATCTTTCTACAGAGTAACAGCCTCATGGATAATCTGAAGACAAACTTGTTCACACAGAAACTTGGCCTTGGAACATCCGCTTGACTTTGGCTCTCTGTCTCAAGTGTGCAAGAGCCATGGAGACCCTTTCCTACTTGCGTTCAGCATGGAATCTTGGCATGCCTGTGCTTGCTGTTCTAGCCTGGGAAGGGACAGCCAGACACACTTTGGGAGGTAGGGAAGATGGCATTGTTTGGGCAGGAAACAACCCCTGCAGGCCTATGGGTTGAACCTCAAGATAATGAAATCTGTACAATGTAGAGCTAGTGATGGAAAGTGAGGTCAGTGGCCTTGCAGGGACCTTGGGACACCAGCCTGTATCTCTCTGTTTGCTTCCTGGCTTTTTTCCCCATATTATCACCCCCATTATAATGTACTGGACCACCACAGGTCCTAGACAAAAGGACCAAGTGACCATGGACTGAACCCCTGAAACTGTGAGTCAAAATAAATCTTTCTTCCTAGCTGACTAGCTCATGGCAGTCCAATACTTTCTTTGGGCTCATCAGCACAGGCCAGATCTCCATGGAATATTTCTTGGAAGCCTCTACTTTGGGATTGTCTTTAGAAAAGAGAATAAATTATAACAAGATTGACCAATAAAAATGGTAAATCTTTTTAGGGTCACCTCATCCCAAACTCCTGTGCAGATGTGGTTGTAGGTGATGTCTTATAAGGTAATAGCTTTGGAATGGGGATACCTCAATTGGACTTCGGGCTGTACCATTTACTAGCTGTGCAACCTTGGAAAAGCTGTGGGCTTCTCTGCACCTCATTTTTTATGTCCTTGAATTAGGTAATTCCTTGATAGGGTTGTGACAGTGATTAGCAACCATCCATACAAAGGGCCCCTGTGGAGCACAGCATACCTCTTCTCCCACCTATTACCTGAAACACAGTGGAAATCTCTCACCTAGTTAAAGAGGGACAAACTCTAAGTAAGAAGGACAATTTCTCGTCTCAAGGGAGAGACACATGGGCTTCCAGTTCTTATCCACTGTCCACCACAGCATGTGTTGTGATGATTGTTAACATATGTAGCAGCAGGCAGCCCAGATTCCTAAAATATTCTGAAAACCAGTAATAGCCTTGGTGTCGTCCCGTGTTAAATATAAAACTTAAGTAATTCATTCTATTAAAAAGCCCAGGTCTTATTTTTATCAGGTGATGCCATGAGGCCCTGTTCTAAATGTGCCTCCTGTGCCTGTCTCTATAGCAACTCCACTGTGCTCATAGAGCCATATATTTTTTTCGAAGGCTAATTAAGTTGACAACTGCAAGGGCTTCTTGGTTTACCAGATTTGTACTTGACCCTTCACTTGGGGCTTAGGGACCCCTATGGATGTGAAGTGATAAAGAAAAGAGTAACAGGTGGAGGAGGCCTCTTGTGCACCCCTCTTCAAATAGTTGCCTATGAGCCTTTGGGGCTGTCAATCACTCTCTCTGCATGAGCCAAGACTTGGTAGAGGTGAGCAAGAAAGTATGTTAATGGGTCTTCTTCCACCAGAGGTTCCTTTCCGTGCGTGACGCATCAGGAAGTATAAATGGGTTACATTGGGCTGCAAGAGCCCTGACGCAGATAGGTAGGGTGTCCTCTGTGCCTTCTGTTTCCTACATAATGAGGTTCAGACAACCCAGAAGTGGTGAAAAGAGAAAGTACATGCAATTCAGAAACACTGTACACTTCAACTGTGGGCAAGGGTGCCCTCATACTTAAAAAGTAATATTTGCCTTTTTCTGTTGATAATTTGGAAAATGCAGCAAACTCTAAGATAGAAAAAAACAACAATAGCAATTTTTTTCTTGTCATTGTATCTTTTGCCTCAAACTCTTTGCTCTCTTGGCCCAGGAGATGACTTCCTATTCCCTTTCTTGCTCAGGCACCTCTGAACCTGACCCAGGTTGCCCACGGGGCTCCATCAGCAAGAGGTGGGAAAGTATAGAGATGTGGTTCTAGGAAGGGTCTCTGCCCTAGACCCGAGCACAGATGGTCACTGGGAGTTAATCAAACTTGCTAGAAGAGAAAGTAAAATATTTAGTAGAATCAAAGGTCTCCAGGATGGGCTTCTGCAGAGAAGCTGAGGCCCTCTTCATGGTAGCTGTTCCATGGAGCAACCCACACTTTGTAACTTCCTAGAATTCAACTTTCTGAAGCCGTTGTCTATAAAACTGGGAGCCTATTAGCAATCATCACCCAAGTCACCTTAGTTACTGCCTCTACCAACTCGCATGGAGCTTCACTCTATTCTACATCATGCCAAGGTATTTCTGGAGCAAGGACAAGCCTCCCATGTGTGCAGGAGCCCATGGTCACTCCTGCTAGGATCCACTGTATGGGTCACCTTGTCGCCAAGCCCCCCCACTTCCTGCAGGACTGGTCTCATGACAGCCTACTGCCCAAAGCGTAAAAGGAGCCAAAGCCATACTATATCTTTCAAAGTAGTACAGCACAGACAGTTGACCATGAAAGGGTACCCTCATTCTAAGTCTACTTTCAGACACCCTTCCCAGCACAGGATTTGGTCTGATGATGGCTTGAGCTTCTCAGGTGAGCTTTGTTTTCCTTCAAAATGAATCTTCCTTGGGAGGTTCTTCATTTCTCAGAGACAGACGTCCACTGGGGTTAGCCCATCTACTGTCCAGATAGGCTGAATCCCTGTCTAAATTCAGACAGGAGGCAAGGCTGTCCTCCTGCACTACCTGCCTTGGGGAGAGGGGAGCCTTTGCACCCCTGGCTTTGTGGTGCAGTTTCCCACATATTTGCAAAATTTCCTGGGATGAAACCTTTTCCTCCACTCCACCTGAGGCCATCTGCTTGGTCCATGTGTTGCATGATTGATCCTTTCCATCTAAGCCTCTATCTTGCTGTGTTTCTCACCTGATTTCCTGTTTCCAGGCTCCCTGCTGTGTATATATCACTCATGTTCTCTTTTCCTCTCCTTTCCCCTTTCAGTCCCTTCCTCTCTTTACTGTGCTCCAGCCATTTGGGAAAATCCTCTTGAGGGTCTGCTACCTACCATAGAGCAAAGCAGTACTTTGGACTTGACTAACCACTGTGGCTGCACCTTTCAGCTGAATTTACAAAGGGCTAGAGGAGTCAGATGACCTTCCAGAGCTCAGACTGTAAAGGACTTTGGCTCTGCTTGGCATTTTGCAGTTTCTCTGGGCTCAAGGCTGCCTTCCTCCATCATCATCTAATAATACCTGCTGTTTGCTGAGGTGGGCATGTCCCCTGCCAGCCACAGTTACATAAGTCTCACCCTCAGCTCAGTGGTGGCTCCCCCGGGTGGTATGAAAGGCCCTTATGGCCTGACTTCTCCTGGTCTTTTCAGCTCCATCCCCTGCCTCTCTGTCAAGGAGGATTTTGGCCTCAGCCATCTCAAGCATCCTACTGTTCTCAGGCATTCTTGGTGTGGTCTGAGACTGTCTTTACTGTTTGTCTTTCCTTCTCCAAGCGGCTTGCTTTTCATCTTGAAAATCAGCTTGAATGTCATCTATGGAGTCAGTCCCTGAGAACCTTCCCCACTTGTTTCTAAGTGGGACACAGTGGCCAGCCTCCCTGCCTCTCACCCCTGCACAAATCTGTACCACTGGTGAGTAGGAAGGGAGACCACTCCCAGAGCCCAGGGTCCCAGTATGTGGAGGGGACAGAAATCAAAGCTGCAAAGGCTGATGCCCTCAGTATGTACAGGTCGGACCATCATGGGACAAGGGTCGTGTACAGAATGAGTTCCAGAAGTCTGTGTAAGTTCTCCCGTGAATCTGTTGCTGATTACTAAGGTGTGGGGATGTATAGTGAAATTCCCTGAGGCCAGGAAGTGTTACCAGGCACAGAAATTAGCTGAACAGTTTTGAGCGCTCCTACAGGACAATAAGTGCCCAGACCAGGCAGGCAGACAGAACTAGGTATTTTGGGGAGAGAAGGTTGAGTACAGTGAAACCCCAGAAGGGTTTCACTTCAGTAACAGAGAAAAATAGGCTGGAAGTAAGGCTCTGCCCTTGACCCTCGCCAACATTTTCAAGATCTCTGTGTCCAGCCAAGATGTAATAACAGAAATCAGGTTTACTCTCTTGCCCAGAAGAATTAGGAGTCTGAGGGGAAAATACTTTAGACTTCATCAGACAAGAAGAACAAGTCTAGAAAAGTGGAGGTCATTTCCATGTCACTCCAGCGGGCTGCAAGAGGGAAGAGGAAGGCAATGGGATTCTGGAAATCACCTTAGGTCAAGGAGGTGTAGTTGACCCAGGAAAATAAGGCCAAGTGGGCTTACTGGGGACAGTGCCGAGAAAGACCACGCTGTGCAGAGGACATGGAGATGTGCAGAGAGGTCCACTGAGGGACCGCAGAATACTGACAGACGCACGGGTGAGCAACCTGAGGTGGAGAAAGAGGTAGGAGAGAGGACTAGAAAAAGCTGTCCACTGAGCTCACACAGGTCTGGAAATAGCACTTCTCCCTGAGTACTGAGTGGAAAACATAATAAACCCTGGGGTATTGGGTTGAGTCTTTCCTCAGTTGCAGGACACAATTATCCTGAGGGCAGATGTTGCTTTTATTCCATCTAATGAATATTAATTGGGGATCCCAATTGATCAATCTGTTCTCATTCAATTAAGTGTACTCTAGGGAGAAAAATTAAAGACAATCTATATATTTTTTTAAAAATCCAGTCCTCAACAGGGGAGTGTTCCTAGTATCTGACATAGAATTAAAAATTTCACTAATGAAAAGAGATAAAATTATATGAGCAAGGAGAAAAATTAAAAAGTTGAATTAGCATAGATGTCAGAATTATCAGACAAGGGCAACAAAATAGTTATACAGCTTCAAGAAGCTAGAGGAAAGATAAAAACTGCTAAGTAGAGACATGGAACAGGTAAAAGATTCAAATTAGACTTCTGAAAATGAAAGCTATAATGCCTGACATGAAGAATATCCTGAATGGGCTTAACGACAAGTTGTTCTTTTTTTCCCTTCAGTTCTGGGCACTGAACCTGCCGCCTGGCCCATCCCAGGCGAGGGCTCTACCACTGAGCTACACCTTCAGTGCCAATAAACTGGACAATATAAAAACAAACATCAGTGAAAATGAAGACATAAGAATAGAAGCTACTAAACAGAAGTCACAAACAGAACAAAATAAGCTATGAGTTGAACAGAGCTGACTTCTGGTGAAGATAAGTTACAGAAAACTTAACAAACTAAAAGTTCATGTTTTTCTTGCATCTGTCAGAGAAACCAAGTCACAGGGCAAACAGCTGAGCAAAAAAACTGGAGAGATGGATGCGCTGCTGCAGAGGAGAACTCACTGCAACAGAGGCCCCGGGGCTGAAAGTCTCCTGAGAACCAGGGCTTGGACAGGAACCCAAGAACCAAACTGAAGTGCTGCTGGGGCTCCTGCCAGACGTGGGCAAGGGAAAAAAACCCAGGGGATGGGTGACAGTCAAATGCAGATGCCCCCACTTCTGTGAGTTTTATCATCAGGAGCTTGACCAGGCTTTCACAGGGGATAGCAGAGGAAAATTCCTTCATGTTCCTGGCAAAGGAAGGTGAAACGGAGCCTTTTAAAGCAAGCCAGAGAATTTTGTTCTGCTTAGCAAGGCCTGCCCTCAGGAGAGATGTCTGCATAGCGTTCTCTTAGCTTAAGCTTCTCAGAGGAAGGCAAACTCCAAACTCTATCCAGCGCTCACCTTCAACGTGGAAGAAGGGAAGGGGGCAGCTGCAGTTCCTACAACCATCCTGTTTAGCCAAGGGCAGAATAAACCAAGATGCAGTCCCAGGGCACAGGCTCATAGAAAGACTGAGGCCTCACCCTAGGACAATAGATGGCTTCCTTCCCCCTCCTCACCAGCACATCCTAAAGGCTGATGTTCCACAGCTGCTTTTACCCAGCATAGCGCAGCACCCATATTCCAATGAAAAATTGAAAGCCACACAACACCCCAGCCAGAAAAAAAAAAATAATTCGAAGAGATGGAAATAAGTATTGTAGGACCACAGCAGAAATGTTGGAGAAATGTTTTAAAATTATGATTGAATATGCTAAGGGCTTTCATGGGAAAAGTAGACAACATGCAAGACTAGATGGATAATATAGGGACAGATGTGAAAATCTAAGAATAAAATAGAAATTGAAGAAATTTGTTGCCAATTGACTTGGTTTTCAAGAAGTGTATGGGGCCGGGGAGATGGCCCAGTGGAATAAGTGCTTCCTTGGCAAGTGCAAGGGCCTGAGTTCAATCCCTGGTTCCGAAAAAAAAAAAAAAAAAGAAGTGTTAAAATGAGTTCTCCAGGGAGAATGAAAAGTAATGTAAGCAAAAAAACTAGGATGGGCTAAAGAAAGGAAGGGGGCTAGGGAAGGGAAAATTGAAGATAATATCATAGGCAGTCAGACAGGGCCAGGCCCTTGAAGAAGATAACACAGAAGACAAGATACCTGTGGGAGGGACAGATGCTCCTGCTGGGAGCCAGACCTAAAGACCAAAGATCAAACAAATGCTAACGTCCCTAAAGATTAGCATCTGGGTTTGATCTTCACCCTGAGAAAGCCTGGAAGAATCATTACTGGATGGCTACCAGATAAAGTCCTGTTTTACATTCATGCCTGCTTGCTGCGCGACTCTTGACTCGCTTCCCCATTTGGTCCTGGACTTAATCAATTTCACCTGCGGGATGGTGCTTGTAATCCCATTGGTTGACCATGGTTTTGTCCCACCCCACATCCACCTAAGCGAGTTCCCATTCTCTCCACCTTAGCCCTGCATGGTTTTACATTATAAATGTCCCTGGAAGACACAGCTTCCCAGGGACAACCCGCTCGGGACCCCTCCTGTCCCTCTCTTAGGCGCTTTCTTTTCCTCAATAAATATATTCTGCTTATAACCTAAGTTTGTTCCTAAAATTCATTCTTCGATTTTAGAGAACACAAACTTGTCCAGGTCAAGCTGGGAGTTTCACTTCCTCTCTATCATTTGGAGGTCCTCATATCAGTTTTTCTCCCTATATCAACAGAATGTGTTTGGCTATGTATGCTTATGTTTAATAGCACATCTGTGCTTAATGAAAGACAGCAGTGGTTCAGAAAACAGGAGAGAGGAATTAGGCATATTTTGCTGTAAAATGTGTACTATTTATAAAGTGACTTAATTAAAACTGGACTTAAATTAGTTGTCAATGTATATTTCAAACTCTAGGCCAACTACAAGAAAAAGTTTAAAAATGTATAGTTTACATGCTAATAAAAGGCAAAACATGGAATCAGATAAAAAGCTCAGTTAAAACTTACTAAAGACATGAAAAGTATAGAAATAAAGAAAAAGGATTATTATTAAAAATAGTATAACTATGTTACAGTTAATCTTACCAGATGAATAGTGACTTTAAACATCATTGGTTTAAATATTCCAGTTAAAGGACAGATATTTTAATCAAAAAATCATCTTTATAAACGTGCACATATCTTAAAAGTACAGAAATAAATAAGAACATATGTCAACACTAATCAAAATGGAATGAGAATATCTTTATTTATTTCAGACTCAGCATATTTCAGAGCAAAGAAATTTATCAGAGATAAAGCAAAACATATAAAGTAAGAGAGTCAAATATCTCAAGAACACATAGCAATCTTTAATAGATGAACCCACTACTACAGTTGGAGATTTCAGCATCACTCTGTCAGAAATGGACAGATCCAGCACGCAGAAAATCATTCAGGACCACAGCATCTATCACCTGGCCCTGATTAGAGGTTACAGAATAGGTCACCCACCAAGAGCGGTGTATGTGTCCTTCTTAATGTTATATGAAGCAGCAGTTTATTCAAGCACCAAAATAAACTGCTTTAGGATTGAAAGACATGGTTTAATAAGAGATTTAAGAGAACATTAGAAAATGGAAAGTCACTGCAGTCAGTTAAGCCAACTGGGTAGCCTGCTGGTGGGTGCCCAGTGTACAGCACACAGTAGCCTCCTCGGTAGTGTATGTAGCCTGTTGTTTGTATGGGCTGCCCTAAGGGACCCTGGAGACACTCCTCCTGGTGGGTGTTCTGTGTATCTGACATCGTGCTGTCCCCAAACCATGCTCCAGACTGGCATGCAGGGTGCCTTTGGGAAGCCCCAGGGCATGGTGGCAAGGGTTCACATTGGACAAGTCAGCACGTCTATCTGCACCAAGCTACAGAACAAGAGACATGTGCTCGAGGCCCTCGCAGGGCCAAGTTTAAGTTCCCTGGCATCAGAAGATCCACATCCCCAAAAAGCGGGGCTTCACCAAGCTCAATGCAGATGAATTTGAGGACATGGTGGCTGAGAAGCGCCTCATCCCTGATGGCTGCGGGATGAAATATGTCCCAAATCGCAGTCCCCTGGACAAGTGG